TTTCTATCTTCAATTGAGATTACCATTGGCAAACAATAACCCTTTTTCAGTACTTTCCAAAAAGGCTATTTCAAGTCTCTTCAAGCCTTTAATTCTAGCTTCCCCTTCTCTCAACCAATGACGCTGCCTCTACACTTAGTGAGCTCCCAATCTCTAACTCAAGATCTGCTCATGAAATTATTTTTCCTTGTGCCTTTTCCCTTATCTTTGCATTTAATGACAGTCAGCACACTTCCAGATCTGGCTCTCAGATTTATCTCTCCATTTCCCCCTCTTATGAGTACCTTTTCTCTAAATTCTAATATGTATATATCCATCCTAAAAAAGCCTAACTTAAACTCAATGTCTCTCAAGTAACTTCCTGTTTCTCTTATTAGTTTTATATCAACACTTTTTGAAAAGCAAAACGTTTGCCTTTAAAATTTTAGGAATGACTACTAATGGTCATCTAGTCCACTAGTTCTCAATATTCAGTCTCTACTAGACCTACTGATCCCCCCACAAAGGAAGCCAAGATCCATCTCTCCTGAGAACATAACTTCACAGGGACTCTAACAAGTAAGGGCTTTCAAATTTTTTAATTACTAATGAAAAGTGTAATATCATGAAGTATACATTTAAAAAGCTAAAATAACTATAAAATGCAGCTCTACCTATTTCGTATAAAAGCTCATTCTCTAAAGCGTATTATGGTCTGCAGCTCTGCTTCCATTCAACCCCCTCACCCTCACTCTCTGTCTAACCACTTTCAGGCACTTTCCCTATTCGCTGATGACTGAGACCAAACTTATATTACACACAGTAAACTTCTTCAAAATCCTAAAAGATTCAGCATCCATTTATATGCCCCAGCCTCAAAATTTTTAGACCTTCATTTCTATTCAACTGTAGCCAACCACTTCCAGGGGCACATTAAATTCTCACATCACCTAAGACTGCTCTACCATGGATATCTGAAATACTGATATATCACTCTTTGATCACCTGTAGTCTTTCATGAGCTTACTCCATTTACTATCTTCTACTGGACTCCTCACTTCTCTCCCTTCCATGCCCATCAAGCTTGGACTCAATGGTGTATCATCTGAAGCTGCACCTTTGATTAGAATCGTTATCTTTTCCTTTATCTAATCTAACCCAAAATCAGTGTTACAAATTCGCTTTCTTCACTGCTGTACCAAGATGGTTGAACACGAATAGAGGAAAATCATGAGTCATCCAACATAGAGACCCATGTTTTAGGGAAGACTGACTTGGCTTCATTTCTACTCCCTTTTCCAGGTGTAGGCTATGAATCAAGCTGAGCCAATCAAGTTATTCTTACTCTCTGACACTAGTGATAGGTTCAGGGATGAGCAGTTCATTGACATAGTCTAATCAGAGTGAATAATCAGACTTTTATCGGTAATGCTAAGGAAAAGATTCTCAAAATTAATAAAGAAGCATTTAGCTCACCTGGACCTTTAAAAAGAATCAACCCTCAAATAAAGTTGACATCAAGTAAGCAGACCACCATACACAAAAAATCTAATCCTGATGATATCATTCAGCCATTAGTTTCAGACTGAAGCCAATGAATCTCACTTAATCTCTTGAGTTTTTAGTTTTATGAACCCATAAACTTCCTTTCAGCAAAGGTTTCAATTGTATTTTCTATTAATTATAAACCAAAAATCCTGACATATAATATTTGAGTTAAGACTGGCATCAACAAATCAAGCTAATAATACCTTGGTTAATGTCCAGTTGCCAACTTCAGTCTAACTTTAGTTCCTAGTTATCAGTAATCAGAGCTTCTTTCCTCCTCTTAGCCAGTACCCTGCTTATACCAGGTACTCAATGAGTATTTGTTTAAACAAATTAGTATGGCAGGATCTATAATAGGCCCTTGAAAGGGGTTTATATTTGTCCAAGTTCTAACAATATTGTCTTCTGAAAGCAATAAAATTAACTTCAAGACAATGTTCTCAAACATTTTTGTCTGTCTTCTACAATAAGCAATGTATTTTATACCATGATCTGGTACACACAAGATTTATATAACTGAAAAATCTCAAAGAAAAAATATTACATATAAAGTGCTCTGCTACTTTCTCTCTTTTTTTTAATGGCTCATCATTACAGATCAAACTGATTTCACACTGCTCACAAGGATAATGACTTACATGTTGAAAAACACGGTTTTAGGAGTTCTCTTAAATCAAAATGGGGAACTTCTTGCTAGTAAGCAGATCAGCCAAGGCAAATAACACACACAAAAATAAAATACCCTGATCCAGGCACCCTTGCACACAGATTAGGCCGAGAGCCTTAATGTGGTTCTACCTCTTGTCTCCCTCCCTTCCTCATAATGCAAGAGTTAAGGCTTTCAGTGTCATTGCCTTGCTCAAGTCTTCACAGTAGTCCTCAGTCTATAAGGCTCAAATATTAGACTAGAGACCAAAGTCATAGTAAGGAACACATCAAATATACCAAACAATGCATATAGTGCATAAAATACTCCAAACATACACACAATGACAACTATTTGTCAAAGTTATGTAGATATATTAAGTAATAAAATACAAATTTGTCATCACTATATTTCTCAATCAAGAGCAACTAAAAATTTTATCTGTTCTCTAAAACCTTTTCTTTTTAGAATGTCAAGTTATCACCTGCAATTAACAAAAATGATTTTTATAAGCCAAAAATCAATGGCTAAGTAGTTACTAATGACATCAGATCACCAGCTGATTACCACCAGCAAGTAAATCGAACTGTTACATAAAAGGTCCATGAAAGGTCCAGGATATTCCTAACACTACAGAGACAGAGAAAGGAAAACAAGAAAAAGAAAAAAAAAGTATGGATCCAAAAACTACTTTTGTCCAGCACTTTATTTATTTATTTTATTGATTTGGGGGCAGGTGGTGATTTATTGTTCCACTTATTTATGCATTCATTGGTTGCTTTTTGTATGTGCCCTGGCCAAGAAATTGAACATGCAATGTATGGGGATGACACTCAAACCAACTGAGCCCGCTGGACTAGGCCTTGCCTAGCATGTTAAAGCCTTCTATGCTATCACATCATTTTGACCATGGCCATGGCCAACCTTATCTGTTACTATGCAACAAAAAGTCTTCACTCCTGACAACTTACTCATTATTGACACACATACATGGTTCATATTAACATTCAATGTGAATTCCATTCCCTTCTCTTATCCAAAACCTATTTATCCAAATCTTATTAGTCCACGAAGGCATGCTTTCACATCTCCATCTTCCTACAGATTTGTAGCCCACAGGAATCATTTGACAGCACCATAAAAATAACTATGTTGACGGGCCTGCGAACCAAAGGATTGCGGTTCAATTCCCCGTCAGGGCACATGCCTGGGTTGCAGGCCAGTTCCCAGCAGGGGACGCACAAGAGGCAACCATACACTGATATTTCTCTCCCTCTCTCCTTCCCTTCTAAAGATAAATAAATAAAATCTTTTTAAAAACTGTGTTGAATGTGTTGTTCAAATGATAACAATTTTAAATCACTTTGGAGATTTCAAAACTTTATTTTCTCAACAGTATTAGGTTAAAAAAACAGTAATAAATCGACTGATTGCGACTGCAAACCAAATGACAATCTTTAGAGACATCCTACATGGAAAACACTTTTTCTGGAAAACCCTAGATTATTGTCACTGTCAGTAACAGCATCTTCAAAACAACATTCCTTTAATTTGAGTGGATTTATACATTGAGAACAATTCATTTCTGAGTTACTTAGTAAGTTATTTGGCTCTACTGTCTATAAGGTAGGAAAACACCTAAATACATAAAGCTTAAAGAGCCAAAGTAAGCTGGAGACATTTTAAATTACTTTAAAAATATTTTAAAATAAAATACCATTTTCTGCTAGACACTCTTTTTTCAATATATTTTAATATATTTTAAATTTGATTCAAAAAGTATTTTGGCTGAATGTTAAACTTATTACCTTCACAGTTATAAATGTTAAGTGTACAGTACTTTATTGTTGATTACAGTTACAATGTTGCTAAACCTTCTTAAAAGATCCTTACCCATCACTGGTGGTAGAACACAATAGTGGAAGTAAGTAAGCTACAGACAACATAATAGCTATTTATTAGGATCTCTTCAACTTAATGGGCTTTAAAAACATCTACAGAGCTTATCATTTTAACTGCTGAAAAACAATGAAAAACCCTATGCCAAGATGGAATCAAAGCATTTAATTTCTAGGTATACTTTTTTCCTTAAAATAATATTTAAAGCCCTGAGAAATGCCAGAATGGCACAGTGGGAAAAAGCTTTAGAGAGAGAGATCTTAACTATAATAATAATCGTTAACTTCATACAAGCCAAGCATTACACTAAATCCTTGACATGAATTATTTCGTTTAATACACTAACTAGATACTATTGATTTTATCACTGTACAGTTTGCACACTGAGCTTTGAAAGATAACAAGTCCAAAGCCATAACTAGTAAAGCAGATACGCAAACCCAAGTGTTCCTGCCACGTGGAAGTTGCACCTGGACGTAGTTAAATCCTTGCTCATAACCATTACATTACTAAACTGTCTTTGTCACTTTGCGCAAGTCATGTATCCCTCTGGGCCTCAGTTTCCTCAACTACAAAAATAAAGCAATGCATGCTGAAGTTCCTCACAGCTCTACTTAGCTTCAGTATAATACCAACCTTACACTCTCCCTAGTGTTAACAAGCCACTGTCATTCCTTCTTTTAACTGAATTCAACTAAAAACAAAAAAAACATTACGACAAACCAACTAGATGTCCTGCCTTGTGGTTGGACCTCGGCCCAAGCCCAGGTCCCCGACTCTCTCTTCTCCCGCCCCTGAGTGCCAACGGGCAGGCCCCTCTGCCCCGACAAACCCCGGGAACCGGCTGAGGTCCTTTCCCCTCCGAAGCTCCTACCGGCACACTCTCGCCTCTGGGCCAGGCCCAGCTCTGGTCCCTGGTTCCACTCACCCTTCAAGTGGTCTCCGCTGCCTGGCACTGTGGAGCCACGCGTCCCTGCTGCCCGATCCCCAGCTGGGGTCGTCTGGAGTGCCCCCATCGGCGATCGTTCGGCGACTCTACCTTTCGCCATGGCTACCGCAGGGAAGGTGGAGGGAACGAAGTGAGCCGCACCCCCTTCACAATAACTCCGCTGGCTCCTTCTCACACCCAGAGGTCACAGCCACAGCCAGTTGCGGGAGACCACCTAACCTAACCTGACACGACCTCAGCCAGAGAGCACCGCGACGCTTGACCTCAGCCCACTCACACGAGGCTCCGCCCCGCACCGCCCCTAGCCGCCTGAGGACTCGGAGCTCGCGCCCGTCCAGTCACCGCGAGACAACTCAGGATCTCGGCCCTCCGAATTCACTGCCCCGCCCGCCCCTCCCCGCCTGGCAACTGGGGGAAGCATGCGCAGTCGTGGCATTGGAGTTACCCAGAGTGACTCGCGGTTCCAGAGTTCCGGTGCGCGCGCGGCTTTAGCTATCCGGAAGTGCAGATCCGGCGACTTCAAACCTTTCTCCCTGGCCGCCGGAAGTGCTAGAGAATGACTCGTTAGCGTTTTGCAAGTGGGGGTTCATTCTGCCCACTCCCAACTGCCGATCCGAAGCTACTGTAGGGAATTTAGAGGGGCTAGCGAATGCTTGGTATGAGTATGTTGAGAAACGTAAAACTTGATCCGATTCTACCTAGTTTCAGAAAACTAAGACTCAGGGAGGAGCTATAACCTGTGAAGGTCACAGGGTGGCAGAAACGGGTTTAAAAATCCGAGTTTTCCTGTTCTCAAGCGAGTGCTATCCTTTGTCAATTCCCTGCCGCCCGTCTCTAGTTAACCCAGGTCGGCTTATTACATTTAGTTTTGGTGGAGTTTTTTGGTTTTTTTGTTTTTTTTTTTTTTGCTGAACCCCAAAGTACCTTTTAAATAAATAGTTACTTTTCCACTCCCACCTCTCCCAGCAGTATTCGGTTTACTCATTGGAGAGTGTATTGGAACTTCCTCTAAAACCTACTTGGCAACGTGTAAAAATACTCTTCCAATCCAGGAATTACATTTCTGGGAAACTATTTCTTGGAAATAAAGAGAGTTGTTCTAACAGCATTATTTATTAGTATAGTGGTAAATGTGCAAGCAATCTAAAAAACCTAAAACTAAAGAAAAATGGTTAATTATGGGAAATCCACTTGATGGAACTATTTTATGTACACGTCCTCTGCCTACTTGTATTAAGGCCTCAGTGACCAAGGAGGCAGGTCACCATTTCATTTCCTTCATAGTCGTTATTAAAAGCAGTAATTATTTGGGTTGTTTATTTACTTGTTTATTGTTTGCCTCCACCTCTAGAATGGAGGCCTTATTAAGGTAGGGTCTTAATAAACAGTTAAATGGACATTCGATAAATTTGTCGAATAAATTTTCAACCATAAAAAATGATATTTATGAAGAGACTAATAATCTGGAAAATATTCAGAAACAATTTCAAGAGCTAGTTATAGAAAACAAAAGTGTTAGAAGAATTATAAAAGCGAGTAAACACATTAGTGTAGAGAATGTCTTCTAGAGCAAGACACAACTATTTTCAAAAAGTTGATATATTTACTACATATTAAAAATATGACCAAAAAAACAACACCCCCCCCTGAAAACTCTAAAATTAAAATGAGACTGAGAAAAAATATTTGCCATAGAAGAATTTACAAATCAATTAGAAAAGCATAACCTGACAGAAAAGTGAACAAAGAATGTGAGTGGTCAGTTCATAGAAGAAAAAATTAAATAGCCAATAAATTGATGAACAACCTCATTAATACAGTGTGCTAATACTGAGAGGTGCACAGACTGCCATAGCAGAAAGAGGGGTATCTAAGTTAGAATGGAGCCACAGTGAATGCCCAGCAATAATGATTTTCAACCTGATTTAAAGGATGAGTGGGTAGTAAAGAAGAAGAAAGCTCTTGCAAAGGTTAGAAGCTAGTCCTTATTTTTTTAAAAAGCGGAAACAGAATGAAAATAAATGAGATTAAATAGATAACACAAGGACCTTAAGACCAAATGCTAGCAGTTTGAACTAAGCCCTCCAAGACATTGAAGCCACTGAAGTTGTTTTTCTTTTTCTGAGTGCCTTTCCAGTGCTAATTTATTTCTTTTTTAATTTTACTTTTCAATTATAGTTTATACTCAAGTATTAGTTTCAGGTGTACAGCATAGTGGTTAGACCATTATATACTTCAGGAAGTGTTCCCCTTGATGTTTCCAGTGCCCACCTGGCACCATACATAGTTACTACAATATTATTGACACCCCTGTAACTATTTTGTAACTACTAATTTATACTTCTTAACCCATTCTCCTTTTTCACCTGGTCCCCCAGAACCCTCCCCCTCTGGCAACAATCAGTCTGTTCTCTGTCTCTATGAGTCCTTCTATTATTTGTTTATGTATACTGTTTTTTAGATTTCACATATAATTGAAATTATATGGTGTTTGCCTTTCTCTGTCTGACTTATTTCACTAAGCATCTACCCTCTAGGGGTAGTATGCTTCTACCCATTCCATTGCAAATGGTAAGATTTCATTCTTGTTTGCAGCTGAGTAATATTCCATTGAATATAGGTACCACCACTTTTTTATCTACTTGTCTATTGATGGGCACTTAGGTTGCTTCCATATCTTGGCTATCGTAAATAACACTGCAGTGAACATGGGGTGCATTTATTCTTTAAAATTAATGTTTTGGGGTCCTTCAGCTATATACCCTGAAGTGGAATCACTGGATCATAGGCAGTTCCATTTTTAATTTTTTGAGGAAACTCCATTCTGTTTTCCATAGTGACTACACCAGTCTGCATTCCCACCAACAGTGCATGAGGATTCCCTTTTCTCCACATCCTTGTCAACACTTGTTTGTGGATTTTTAAAAAAGAGATGAGGTGGTTTTTTTATGGAATTCAGACACTTTCTACATTGCCTGATTTTTAAATAAATATACAATGATATGGTATATTTACATATTTCCTGATATACAGATTTACAAAACTTACACAGGTTATGTGGTACCAGAAACAAATCGATACATCACACACACAGGACAGTTTAGCAGTCTGTTCAAAATGTCAACAACAACAACAACAACAACAAACCCTCGGGGGACAAAGTTATATTGTACATAGTGTGTACTGAAGTTGTAAACACCATCTTCCTCTTCAGGCCTTCTATCCAAGACATAAGATTGTTCAGACAGCTCATGTGATTGAGACTCCTCAGGCAGTGCCTCGCAGGCCTCTTTGGCTGGGAACACGTCTGAGCTCTTTTTATCAGCTTCTTCATCAACACTCTCCTAGTCATTGTTGAGGTCTTCATAGTCTTTCTTCTCTTCCTGCTTCCTCTCCTTCTGTTTTGGGAATTCTTCAGTATGTCCTTTTCCTCTATTATGCCATTTGTCAGACCGGAGTTCTGGAAAAGAATGCTACTCGCTAAAGGAGGGTCCCTGATGGCTTGTATGCCATGTGCATTATTCTTTTCCAGTTCTTCCAGATTAATTTTGTCCTGGCTGGTGTGGCTCAGTGGATTGAATGCCTGCCTGTGATCCAAAGGGTCACTGGTTCGATTCCCAGTCTAGGGCACATGCCTGGGGGTTTCTCTCTCTCTCCCTCCCTTCCCCTCTCTAAAATAAATAAAATTAAAAAAAAAAACAGGTTAAATCCCATTTCATGTCTGTCACAAGGTTTTCATTAAAATGTAGAGAAAGAGTCCAGGATGTAGAGGGTGGCAACAGAAGCCTAAAGAGCCTCCTGTCCCCTCAGAACACAGCAGTTTGGCAGTACCTTCTTCATTTGAGCTTTCTTTCACCTTTTTGGGGTAGTCCTCTTTTCTGAGCAAATAAAGTAAAACATTCTAGGAGTTCTTTTTTTAAAAAAATACTTTATTTATTTTTAGAGAGAGTGGAAAGGAGGGAGAAAGAGAAGGAGAGAAACATCAATGTGTGATTCAACTTGTTGAATAAATGAATGAGTGAACGAATTTCTTCTTGTGCTTCACACCCCCACCCAGTCAAACACTAGCTCTAGTCAGATCTCAATCTCCTTACCCTCCTCAGTCACATTTCACGATCTCTCTTCTCATTCATCTGTAGGCAATTTCCCATGTTACCACTAAAGCTGCCTCTAAGAAGCAGTCTTCAAGCCCCTCATGACTTGACACAAGCTCAGTGGTCTAGCTGACTCTGAATCCAACATGAATAAACAAATCAATAAAAAAGGAAACTATTCTGAACCATGTAGTTAACCTTAAATCCTATACTCATCTGTGCCATTGTGCCCTTGCAATAGTTACCCCTGTGCCTTAAATGTTTTCTATCCAGTGTTTCCCTGTAATCAATTAGTGTTTATCTTGAAGATTTGTCTTAAGGGTGCCAGTTCTAATAGATACTTGCTATGTTAGATTGCTTCTATTTTATTTTATTTTTTTAAAGATTTTATTTATTTTTAGAAAGGGGGATTGGGAGGGAGAAAGAGAGGGAGAGAAACATCAATGTGTGGTTGCCTCTCATGTGTCCCCTACTGGGGACCTGGCCTGCACCCCCGCCATGTGCATTGACTGGGAATTGAATCAGCAACCCTCTGGTTCACAGCCCACGCTCAATCCACTGAGCTACCCCAGCCAGGGCAGATTGCCTCTATTTTAGTAATTATATATATATCCTCACTTGAGGATATAGTTTTCATTGCTTTTTAGGGAGATTTGAAGAGAGAGACAGAAACATCCACGTGAGAGAGAAGCATCTGAACGTGCCTGGACTGGGGATTGGTATCTGGACAGGGATCATAGGTGTTGGGACCAGGATTCATGGGTGCACATGTCTGGACCAGGGATTGAACCCACATCCTAGAACTGTGCCCTGACTGGAATTGAACCTGTAGCCATTTGCTTATGAGATGATATTCCAACCAACTGAACCATGCTGGCCAGGGCTCTGATTATATTTTAATTGTTTATTTATTATCTGCCACCAGACTATAAAGAACCTTTAGTGATCCAGCACAGTGCCTTTTTCAATGGTTTTGTACAATGAATGCCTTTGAGATGCATGAAAACTCTCCAAATGCATATGATTACCAAATAGTTAAATATACAAATCTCTTGCTCAGCAAAGATTAACACAAAGTTTGGTGTTGAAAATACTGATACTTGGAGAGTATTATGCTAAATGGAATAACCAAGTCAGAGAAAAACAAATACCATATGATTTTATTTACATGTGGAATCTAATAAACAAAATTAACAAACAAAACAGAAACAAATTAATAGATACAGAG